ATTATTATTATTATTATTATTATTATTATTATTATTATTATTATTATTATTATTATTATTATTATTATTATTATCATATTCTATATTATTATCACTATCAGTTATTTTTTCCAACCTCAAAAAAGCAGAAATAGCGGTACACCCTGAATGTTTTCCCGCATTCTGATTAAGCTGCTTATCTGCCCGCAGAAAAGCTAAATGAAAAATTTCTGGTATAGGATCATTTGGTTTTTCTCGAAGAACTTCCAAAAATGTCTATTAAATAAATAAATAAATATATGTACGTGTATATATAAAATGTATTGATCAATAAATAAATCTCAGATAAAATATTTTAATTCTTTTTTTTTTTTATTTATTTGTTTATTTGTTTGTTATATTACCTCATGAAAATGGTTTCCACACCATTCAGCTGCTTGTTTTCCTGCATGACCATCGAAAATTGTAAAAAATCCTTGTCCCTCGATTCCTGCGAAATCATAAAAATATGAATGTGCATCCTAAATATTATAATTAAAATTTGCAATTAAAAATTAATGAAATTAAAGATATATATATATAAAAAATATATATATATTAATGACAATAACAAATAACAACAATAAATAATCAATGTGAATTTATTATGTACATGCCTCCATTGTTCGTCTACAACGTTTATTTCGATCTTCGCTTACACCAACTTGAAAGTGAGGAAAATCGATTCTTTTATTTGTAATGACTGCATCTTTTTCAGGCTCTTCTCCACTTTCCCCACTTTCACCACTTTCACCGCTTTCCTCACTTTCTCCACTTGACGTACTACTGCTTGGAGTACTACCTGAAGCAATACTTGATGTATTACTTGATGTATTACTTGATGTACTGATATCTAAATTTGTTTCACCATCATTACTTTTATCATTACTTTTATCATTACTTTGAATATTATTACCTTTACTATTAATATTATCACTTTTACTATTATCACTTTCACCATCACTTTTACTATTAATAAAATTTTTATCGTGATGAGTTGGTAGTGTTGGTGTTAAAGGTACAGGTAAATTTGTAAGCACAATTTTTTCAGTTGGAGAATTTTTTCGATCAGTTGTTGAAACTTTTGAATCTTTGGTATTTGTTGTTACTTCATTTTTACTATTATTATTGTTATGTAGATCATGAGTTAAAAATTCATGTTGAGTTTGTTGTGAAGGAGAACTTGACGACATTTTTTGTTTCTCTTTAATTAATTAAAAGTTTTATTTCAATAATAATAATCAAAAAAAAAAAATAGTAATATTTAAAAAAAATAATATATTCAATAAGAAACAATAACAATAAGAAATACTAATATTTAATAAGAAATACTAATATTTAATAAAAAATATAATATTCAATAAAAAAAATATAATAAAAAAATATGAAAAAATATTAAAAAAAAATTTTTTTGACCAAGGAAAAGAATTACTTTTCCCATTTCTGACAGCTTTTAAACTATATACAGTATAAAATTTTAAAACGTAGATAATGTAATTATTATTACACTAATTTCCATAAACTTGACAATTATTATTATTTGATTATAATTTGTATCACCATTAACTGGTCAAAAGAGTAATAGTTTATTTATAATGATAATAATTATAATAATAATTATATACAATCAATAATAGAAAATAATTAATAATAATAAATAATAATTATATAAACAATAATTCAATATCTAATAGTTAAGCATATTTTATTAACGTAAAGTTGCGGAATACATGAGAACATCTGGTTGTTCTTTTAATAAATTTTCGATTTCTCAATTATTACGATTATGTATTACAATCAATTATTACTCATGTGATTCTTGTCACGACGCGTTTCGCGTATTAATTAACAATAAACCAATCATTATTTTATAAAATTGATAATCACCTAGCAATAATTAATAATGTGACTACAAAATCAATGAATTCTAGAAACCTACCATAATAATTTAGTAGAATTACTGAATCAATCAACAGAATTATCGAAATGAAATTATTCAACACCACGCAATTATTCAAAGAATGGATAGGAGAGAAGTGAAATTCTTTTACAAGTTCTTTGTCAGCAGGCTCTTCTTCCCGAAGTTCTTCTGGTAAGGAAAATGAAATCATGGTTTGCGTGTATTTGAATATGCTCCGCATAGAGTCTTCAACTCATATTCCATAACTTCAGCTAACATATTTTGAAATAATGACATGTCTGATTGTAGGCTCGAGCCAATTAACATTCACAAGTATCAGCCTAACTATCTGGATCCAATTTTGATCGAATCAAGATCGGAAACAGATTTACCTTAGAGAAGATGTGTCTTAATGTGGAAATGGAAATTCGTGCACTTGGTGAAAATATTAAAAAGACAACTATACAAGTATTTTATGAAAGAAATATTAAGAAGGATGGTTATATTAGTACATTAGACCAGATTTTTTTATGGATAGATAGTGATAACTTAGATAGTAATTCGGAATAGTTGAAAGGAACACTCATCTTATGAGTTAGAGCTCGAGATGCTTCCTTCCTTTAAATGTCTGCTATTCCAAAAAATTTTATTAGTTTAACTTTGTTCTGGCTCTTTAAATGATAATTTATTTACAAAATAAAGATTTTATTTCAAATTTTTTAAATATGTGTATGCCAATTGTTACACTTTATTGATAAAATATTTCCCTTTTTTCTTACAATAGAAACTTAACTATGCTTTTTACTCATATCTTAAAATTCGAAAGTATCCACAAATTTATATCATAATTTAGATTATCAGATCCACTTTCTGCACCACTATCCGACTTAACATGATATTCTATTTCATGCTCTATGATCAAGATCAAATAGAATATCTGACATAAATTCTTTCTTGAAGACATCTGGAAGTTTCCATTCATGATACAATTTCTTGTGTGATCCAGAAAAGGCAATATTATGTCCTTTGATTGTACAAATCTGATGTACAATTAACATAAATAACAGCATCTCTTGGAAACTGTTATAAATTTTCTTTCCTTGTAATGATTCATTATGTTGATCAATATATTCAATTCCACATGTAAATATATGTGACTAATATTTTCACACTCCAGTTGCTTATCTACACCACCACACATCTCTTCCAGTCTACTCCTTATCACGTAATCTTTCAAATATGTTTTCTTGAAATTTTTATATCCTTTTTCTTAAGCATGAAAAATTTTTAAATAACATCTTTTCATGAATATATGGGTTAATCAGCATGAATAGGATCCAATAAATTAATATCTATATTAGAAATAAGTTTTTATACTTATCTTTACATACACAATTTGTAATATTCATCAAAACTTAACTTTTTTGATATGTCCTAAATTTTTTTTGAAAATGTAAGATCATCTTTTGCTATATGATAATACTTGATACAAAACCTAGATATAACAGGTTTTTTCTTATCATTATATATCATCAATGTTGATTTTTTTATTTTTAGTATAATATAAGAAAGCCTGAATATATTTATTATATATCTTGCTTTCTTTATTGATTATATCATTCCTAAGTTCATTCAATTTATATTCAAGCTTTTTAGAACAGTATTTTATTACAGTAAAACATAAATCTTTTATATTATTTCTATTAAATACCTATTTGATAAGGTTGCTAGGTGAAATTTCTAGATTTTGCCAATTTTGAAAAACTGGCAAAAGATAAAACTTTGATAAAACCTTATTAAATACTTATTATTAAGTTAGATATAACTTGTCAAAAGTCAAAACTATAACAAATACATATAACTGGTAAAACTATATTAAATTATAGTAAAAATTTTGAAAAAATATAAGTTTTATTTTTTGCCAAATTGCAAAATAGGTTTGCTAAACAATCTTAATGTTTAAATGTCATAAAAGTATTTTTAGACACATTAGTAGAAATAATATAATTATATTATTTCCACTTACACTAGATTATTCTCACTCAGGTATGTGGTATGATTCATTTTTTAGGCCACACTCAAACATCAGTAATTATATTAATTTGAAAACCTTCGAAATTATATCATAATATTAGATTTCGAAGGTTATCAATTGTGTCACAACCCTTCAAAATCAAAATTTAATGGTTAAATTTTGATATGTATTATTTCATTATTAAAAACCTTCAAAGTTCAATGCTAAATTTTTTAATGATAATGTAAACTTTTGAAATTCAACGACTAGTATTTTAACATATTTTGTTTCAGGTTTATCATTTTCAGATTATTTCGAATTTAATTATTTTTATTATAATTCAATATATATTGTATAAAATTTCATTTTGTAATATTTTATTACTTTCTAAATTTTTACATAATTTATTATTAATTTTATTATTAAAAATGATAATAAATATTTTATAATATTTTTTTTTATTTTTCTATACATTTTCATATGATGACGTAATAATGTAAGATAACTATTTTCTATATAATTCTTAAATATGACACAGGTTTCTATTTTCTGTAATATTATATTATTTGATACTTCTTTTTGTCTTTATTCTTTTATAAAGATAATAATATTTTAGCTTTTGTTTTGTTTTTTCGTAATTTTACGAAAGTTTGAAAGA